CCAGCACATTTGCCCGGTTTCACAAGTTCTAGCTCCGTTTCATAAGTCTAGTCTTTACAGTAGCACCGTCGAAGGTTTGGGTTACCTCTTTACTTGGGTCTTCCAAGTGGGCTTCCATCTTCCTACCTAGTTCTGTTGATTTACATGACCTAAGGACTTATCTTGGGTTCACACCACCCGGTACCAGTTTGTGTTCCCTCGTACAATGTTGTATGAGTGCCTTAGACCTTCCAGTCAGGCTAGTATGACACAGGTTACAGGTATTCTATCCTAACCAATCACGGAAGACAGTTAGCCGTAACACAGAAAGAATTGCAAATTTTCACCATCACTGTGATTTGAACTCTAGACCTGCCACTTGGGGGTTGACAACCTATCCACTTCACTAGGTCACCACACCCCTGACTAAACCAATTATAAAAGTACATCTGAAAAGAATATATAATAAGCTGCAAATTAATAATTCAGATCTTAATAAATTTAGCTATACCAATAAAGTATTAAAAAATATATATAGCTGTGTATATCAAACTGATATCAAGAAGAGCAAAAAACTACTAAAATCAACCAATTTGAAAAAAGAATAGGTTATTGTAAATAGAAGATAAGTGGCTGCTATTAAGAAAAAATTCAAATATAACAACATGATTTATAGTTTTTTTAGTAGTTTAGTAAAAATGATTAAAATATATAGTAAAGGCTACAAAAAAGAGTATAATAAAAAATATTGATATAATATTATATTGAGTATCTAAAGCTAGAAGTAATCTAGTAGCACAAATATAATATAACTATATGTAATAGTAATGCAAAATGCTAAATAAAATATTAGTTATAATTTGATATTATAAAAAAAAATTAAATTATTTTTGCTTGAATTTTAACCTGAACTATACACACATTTCAATATATCAATAAAACAATAAATCAATAAATTAATTTTCATAATTCAAATAATGCAAAAAAAAAATACATCATGTAGAAAACTATAGGAATAGTGCCATTGCTGTTTTGCCCATATGTTGTTCTTTACACCTTATTATATTTTTACCTTGTCATATTTCATTTTGAATCTAACTTATTTTCTTCCTTTTGCAGTTCCAAAACAATGCAAGTGTACTTTGCCTTCTCATCCTTTTTAAAGCAGTATGGGGTTTTTACAGCTGCTTTGTTTTACCAAAAACAGTGTGGGGTTTTTACAGCTGTTTCACTTATATTTTCTGGAACAGTGTGGGGTTTACACAGCTGTTTCCCTTTTACTTCCTAGTACAGTGTAAGGTTTTCACTGCTGTTCTATCTTACTTCTTAAACAGTGCAAACAAATACACTATTCTCTAATTTTGATTTCACAACATCTTGCTTCATAGCCTTAAATAGCATCGGTAGATATACCTGTTTGGTTGGTTATCTAAATGAATTTTTCTTAGAGAAGGATGGGAGAAAAAAATGTTTTGATTAGTCAGAAAATAGAGTTTTGAGCAACTACTAAAAGCAGTAAAGAAAAGCATAACTTCTCTTCTTTGGGTTTTGTGGCTTATTTATACTTATCATTAGACTTGCAAGATCAATAACCTCAGAATTCATGCAAACTTATTTGACCTATGACTTCATATCAGCATCATTAGGTTCAATATGTCAAGTAATCCTTGCGATAATATCCCTCCTGTGCCTACATTACAGTCAGTCTTATTATTTTTGCTCAGATTTTAACCCAAACCATACATATATTTTAATATATCAATAAAGCAATAAATCAATAAATCAATTTTCATGATTCAAATAATGCAAAAAAAAAAATACATTATGTAAAAAACTATGGGAATAAAAAGAGGATCACTTTTGAAAAATTAAAATTTTTTCAACCCTCTAAAACCCCATCTTCACTGATGTGTTTATCTGTGTTGTTGCAATTATTCTTAAATATAACAATACTGCTTTTAATATCCAGCCTCCTATGGCCATTATTTGTGGTAGTGAAAGGCCTGTCTTCATTGCAGTTATTGCACTACCTATATGCAAGCTGTGGCTTGAATATCTTCCTCTTAAACCTGTATGATATGCTACTTGTTTAATAATTGAACTAATAGCCCCTACAGTTAGTTTTTTATTTTTATTTGATAGAAATGCCATTTTACTTGAATTTTCTTTAACCTGTAAATACTGTTTTTACAGTCAGACAGAGCAAAATTTAGAGTTAGTTAGTTCAATTGAAATAAATTTTCCTGTGCCCTGTTGGTTAGTCTTTGATCTATTTATGCAGATTTATAGAAGAACATTCTCTTCTTTGAAGTCACTTAGAGAAAGGGCTGTTAACTCTACTGCTCTATGCATTGTGCATAGGCTGATTGCCACTAATGCACAGTCATGTGCCCATATTTTGTAATCTGCACCCTTTGGTGGATTATCTATATAAGTTTTCAATGCCTCAACAGTTAATGGGTCCTATGGCCATGCAGCTTCTCTATCCTTTATTGCTAGATTTGACAGTAACTTAGCTAGTTTTCTTACTTTATAATTTTTTGTTAGGTCTGGTAAATCTTGTGCACTATATTGATTTATTATTGCTGTTAGAACAAATATGGGCTTCAAAGTTCTTTCCTGTATATATGACCAAATTAAATATGCTAATATACTGTCTTGTAAGGCTGGTAAAGTAACTAGTCCATATGCATTACAGAAGTTAACAAAATCACCCCAAACTGCTATTAACTTATGATCATATGATGATTTTGGCAGCAAGATGCTTTGTGCTTGTGATAACAAGTTGCTCAGAACAGCATTTGTACTGCCATAAATTTCCAATTTCAGTTGTTTAGTAGTTCTACTGATCTACTTATATTTGAAAGGAAAGTCTCTTCTAGGTTTGGCAGCAACCATTCCCGATGTAGATGTTGTAACATGATTGACTATCAGGAAGCTGAAAGCCAAACTGGTATGATTATCATTATAGTTGCTTTGCTCTTTATCACATGATGGAACACCTGATCTAATTGATCTAAAGGAGCATACATGTAGTTTATTTCTCCTTTCCAGTCTTGTGTAAAACAGTTGACAGCTTCTGTGGTTGAATAGTGCCAACATGAGTTGAACCTTGGAAAGTGGGTTGTGACTTTGCTTGCCATCTAGTCTATTGTATATGAGCCCCATGCATGATCCAATAGTTTGACAATATCCTTTCTTAAACTTCAGTCTGACTCATCGTAATGTCTTGTGAGTTCATCTGCTAGGTTTTTTGCACTTGGCACCTATTGAAATTTATAAATCCAAATGTCTGTTTCATCACAGAAGTTTCAGACCTTTTTTATGTATTCTTTCTGTTAAAGTGCTTTCCTGCCTGATTTTATTGTTTTCCTTACAACTTTGTTGTCTATGAAAACCATTGTCTAGTAATGTGCTAAATTTTTGGCAAAAGATCAAAGGCCTAACAATGTTGCCTCAAACTTTAATTTTGCTATCTCTACATGTTAATACTTTTTCCTCTAGTTCCTGAATGCTTTCTGTGCAAATAGTGTTGCTAACCAGCCAGTTGTTGTAGTGTCTACAAACAATGAAAGTATGTGTAAAGGTTTCCATACTAGGCAACTGTTTTTCTTCTTCAAATTTTAAATCAACCAATTTGCATCTTTTTTTGCCCTTGCTAACAACCTTATTATCCGATTTCACTTCTACAGCTTGTGATACATTGTATTGATCAAGCTGTAAAACTCTAGGCATCATAATTTTGCTGGTGTGAAAGCTCTGCTCAAGCTCATTAACATATCTATTACTGATGCCAATGACTGTGTTATAACTTCTTGTTGTGTTACAAGATGTTTTAGAGCCTGTTTCGCTATTTTTATTTTTTTATCTGGAATTATTACTAATATCGTCACTGTGTCCAGTATTAAACCATAAAATTTGGATCTCTGTATGGGTTTCCAATTCACTTTTTCTGCTAAAATTAGCTACCTAGTCTTAAATCTGAAGCAATTACATGATTCCTTTGGTACTTCAAGATATTGACCTCTGGATAGGCAATCCAGATGTCATCTATATGGTTTTTATAGTAAATGCCTATAGAATGCCAATGTCCAATTAGTGCTTATATCACCTTTTAAAAAACCTATACCACCTGACTTAACCTGAATAATAGAACATGGTAGTGGTATCAGCCTTCTTGAAATCTGAATTTTAGTAGTTTTTATATATTTTCTGCTATTAGAAGGTGGTGATAACCATCTTTCAGATCCATCATTATAACTCACCAGTTCTTTCTTACCATTTGAATAAAGGTTTTTAGACCTTTGAAATGAAATAATTTCTCGGGTAAGGTTCTGTTCAATCTTCACAGATCTATAATAAGCCTCTATTTTCTTCTTTCTGATTTCGGTCTTAAGAATATCAAGCTCACTTCTAGCAAACAGTTCAGTCTTTGAAGCCCCTCTTCTACTTTGACTATTGCCTCTTCTTCTAACAGTCTTTCTAACTTTGTTGCCAACCAAGCTTTTTGTTTCTGTATAAAACAGTATTTGTGTAAGATGTCCAATAGTGATAGATAAAGCAAGCCTTTAAAAAATAATGAAATCTCAAGTTTGAGCCAATTTAATACTAGTAGTGATGCCTTTATCTTTTTCTTTCAATATGCCACTGATGCTGGTCTTGCTAAACTCCCTACTACTGATTGTTTGAGGCCTAAGAGTAGTCAGCTGTAGTTTCTGTTCTGTGTAACATATCTCGTTTCTTGGAATTTACTCAACTTCCTCTTGAAAGGCTGTTTGTCTGTTCTTGAAGTGCAATTATTTGTGTAGTACCCCAATTCTCCACAGTTATAACATGTGAATGCACTGTTTCTTTTCCTTTCTGTACTAAAAGATCTGTTTCTTTCTCATTCTGTAATACCAGGTTTCTGTTTCTAGCATGTTTTGTTCTTAAAGTCTGACTTATTATAGAAACCATGCCCCTAAAAAAACTGCTTTTCATTCGAATATTCCTTTTCTTCTGCTTCAAATTTGCAGTCTGTCTTGCTTATTTAATTATTTCACCATATGCTAACAATCCTTCATTTTTTGATTGTAGCAGTTCTACTGCAACTTCCTAGCTGTACTCTTGTGCTACATTTAGCACTACTGTTCTGTCAAGCATTTTTGCTCTTATACTTTAAATATGATAGATAGCTTCATTTCTTGTTGTAGTACTAAGTACTAAATCTAAGTCATTCCTAATAGTACAAAGTGCATTATATTCAACTGATTCCTGAACCTCTCAAACTTTACATCCAGCCAGTTTTTATGGATCTCTGACCTCAAACTTGATACTTCAACCCTTTCTAAGATGATATTTACATCCTCTTACAAGTGCTTAATCTCTCACAGCAGTGTCTTTATTTCTGCTATATTTCTTGACTTCCTTTTTATCTTTTTCGATCTTTTCTTACATGATTCAGCATCACTTGTGGGTTTTGGTAACATACTAAATTCTGAACTTTCACAATGAAATGTTTTCTTGTGATTCATGTCTTCTTCACTCTAGGTGTTCTCAGATAATTTGCCTTTAATATTCCTCTCTAAACTGCTCTGTTCTCTCTGGAACAGGCCATTAGCAAATATAAGGCATTTTATCAAATTAGTCTTATTATCCTCTGTACTCAAATTTAGCTATGTACAAAGATTTTTCAAAGCTTCAATAGACATGTGTAAGTGGTGCACATTACTTCATCATGTTTCTATTTTGTCCATCTGTTCTATTTGTTCTAAGGCATGTTTGTATGATTTTTCAAGAGCTATATCTATAAAAGAATAAAAGTAGATATTTCTAAATTTGTGTATTTCAACTAAAGGTGTAAAGAACATTTCAATTAGCCAGAAAATAGGGTTTTGGGCAACTACTAAAAGCAGCAAAGAAAAGCATAACTTTCTTTTTTTGGGTTTTGTAGCTTATTTATGCTTATCATTAAGACTCGCAAGATTAATGATCTCAGAATTCATGCAAACTTATTTGACCTATGACTTCATATTGACATTATTAGGTTCAACATGTCAGGTGATCTTCATGATAATATCCCTTCTGTGCCTATGTTATAGTCGGTCTTATTATTTTTTTTTTTTAAATAGAATCCTCACTTCTTTTGTAAAAAATGTAATTTCTGTACTACATGCTAATAATGATCCTAATGTATTTATAAAATAGATGATTATTTTAATCAAAAATGCTCAGATTGGAATATAATAAGCTTTTTAGAAGAGTGCACTCTACAACAAGTCAATCAGAAAATAAGTCTTTACCTTACATCTCTTGAAGCGATAATTAAAGTTTTTGAAGGAAAAAGGTGAGAACAAGCACAACAATTATTAGATAAATATAGAAAGGTGAGTTCAAGAAACTTTTAGTTGAAAATTATATACAAGAAATTGGTGACATGGTAGAAGTTTTCAAGATTTGTGTTATTCAAGCTTTTAAGGTGAGCCACAAATCTAGTATTAGAGTACAGGCGAATTTCAAGTTTGTCTGACATTCAAGATTTAAAAGCAACCTAGCACTGGACCCATGGGGCACAGATGAATTTTAAGTTTATTTGATGTTCAAGATTTAAAGTCAACCTTATGAGAAATCATAGAATTCAGAATATGCAGTAAAAAATATTAAGAATATTATTATATTAATTAACAAAATTTTTACACTAGGGTTCTCAGCCAGATCATACCATTATAAAAAATTGGAGGAAACACTATACATTTTGCAAAATGAGTGAATCTACAATTCACTTTTACAGAGATTCTACAATCAACAATGGGAATCTCATATCTTCAGGTACAGCTAATATTTCATGTATGAAATGCAAGACTAATGATCAGGAAAACAAACTCAGTAAAGTTGCAACTTCTTTAATACTGAAAAAGGCAAAACAAACTATTATTCTATAAAATTATTTTTTGTCTTTTTTTTCATAAACTCTTTCTTTACAGCAAAAAGAAAGTTATGATATAGAAGAGACTGAAAATACCTATTCTGATAAAATAAGAGTCAATCATCCTTCACATCCCTCAAATGCTTCTAGAATTGAGGTAATTGTATTTATGTTAGTGTTTGGCATGAAAGTATTTTTCTTAAATTTTGGATATTGCATGGTCTGTTTCTGAGCACAATGAAGATCTAGAAACAAGTAATTTGAATACACCAGATCATGAGGTAAATTATATCTAGCAGATATTGTTTAGCTGTAAATGTTTACTATTCTCACCACATCTACTTCAGAAGAAGGCAATTGATGATCAAGACCAAGAAAGGGTAAAGGATGTGACCAGTGATGAAGAGGCAAAGAAAGTGACCAAAGTGGTGAAGGAAAACAAAGTAAATCTTTATTGGTAATTTTTAACTATTTTTTTTATGAATAACAAAATTTATGCTTTTCCTGTCTAGGTTAGACTAAGCAAGGAAAATCGAGAGGAAATTGATACAGCCTTTAAGTTAATGAATAAGCAATGCATGTGAAAACTTTTGACTAAAAGATTCATCGAAAAAGAACTATATAGACTAGGGTAAGAACTAGAATTTGAGCAGTTAGTATTCATGCATGAAATTATATTCATGTAGGAATAAGTTTATTAAATTGTGGTCTTATTCCTTTTTCTTAATGCTATCCATTCATTTATTATAGAAGTTGATAATGAATTAATTTCATTACATTTCAATGACACAGAACTTGACGAAATTGATTGTGCCACTGGCTTTCACATTGTGGAACCCAAATGGACCCTGGCCATTCAGGATGGTATATTACTTAATTAGGGAAAGAGTCGATCGCATCCATCATATGATGCATACATCGAATGTGGCGGATAGCAGCAATCGAGTAGAAGGAAAATATCAGTAAAATACAACTGATTAATAGTATTAGTGATATCAGTCATATCCATCGCATAATGTACATAGAAGATTTTAATTATAAATAAAGGCTGAACAGGTTCTTTGGAAGAGATAACTTCCTCTTGACAATAAATATATAGCACATATAATACATGATTACTTATAATAAAACTACTGCTAAAATACTACTACACGAATAACTTTATTAAATACAATCGTTGTTACATAAACTGTTCCTAACTTGAGACTCTGTAAAAAGTACACTAGTGCATTTAACTAACTCAAACCTGACGCATCCTGCATCAGTAGACCTGACCATTTTCAGACAAACCACTCACAAATCTAACATGCCTCCTTCGACCCAATTTACTGACCCTAAAGGTTACATGAGGAACCTGACCGATTAGCAACTGACTCGCCATTTTACGATTACAACATATCTGATTTCCCAGATTAAATCGCTGAATTTCTATATGAATTCATTGGCAAGGTAATGATTCATTTACATGTTAATAACAAAGATAGATGTATTGAAATAAAGTCACCAATCTCTTCCTATTATAGACTAGATTGAATGAGATTCGAGAGGCCATAAAGTCAAAGATGTTTGGTAACAATTATGATCATGAAAACCATCATGATAAGGATTATATAATCTATGCACTTTATTCATTGTAAGTATTTTTGTTCTTTGTGAATAATTTATTAAAACTTTTTAGATGCATCGGCAAGACCAACTAAATTTATTTATATTGCAGAGTTCAAGAAATTCAAGGTGGGACCATGAGAGACACGAAACTAGAAGTTTGGTTCAATTGTCATATTTGGAACGTAATCTTTGACCAAGCTTTTGGTAATATTAATGTAATATCTGTCATCAGGTAATTTTAAAAATTATATGTTGTTTACTTTGATGAATCTGACAATGTTTACATCAAGAGGTGAGAGTACAAGTTTGGCAACAGCTTCTCAAAAAAAATATGAAAAGAAAGTCTGAGAAGAGGTGAAAAATGGGTCGCAGGTCAGTTATGGTTAGGACCGGTCAATGACCGGTCATAACCGTAACCGATATTGGTCGGTCAAAGGTTTGTGACTGACCGGTTAAAATCCTGACCGATACTATTGTAAGCCCCGAAATCGGTACCACCGTTATCACGGTCATACGTGACACGTGATCGATCATCGAGTAATTGGTCACATGAAAAGTAAGATTTATCTTACTTTTCTTACTTATTACATTTATTACTTTTATTACTTCGGGTAGATCGACGGTATAAAGGACATTCGGTTTTTAGTTATTATAGTGGGGAAAGGAGTTTTAAGGCTAATATAGTGTAAATAGATAATGTAGAGGAAATTATCCTCGAATGTAAATAAACGCTTTATTATAAATAAAGGGCTTTCCGCCCAGGGGGAAAAGAAAAACCGCGATACCCTCAAGTAAATATAATTGCTTAAATAAACTTAAAGTATCGGACCCATATAAAAGTAAACTGTAACCCAACCCAAAACTATCGTTAAAAACTATCGTAATCAACTATCGTTCGCCCATTTGTAATCCATTAAAACCGCATTTTGTTCGTTCGCCGCGAGTCACGTGACCAAGCCGTTAACGTAAGAGAAGGACTCCAACCCGATTCGACGTATCGTAACCCCAGGTTAAAGAAGTAAAGGGAGGACAAGAGAAGGCAAAGGATTAATAGAATAATAGGTTGAAGGAAAGACTTAGAAAGAAGAGAAGAATAGTACTTACCTACGGATAAACCACTAGCCAAATCTAACACCTATTTCGACTTAGCCACCGTAGGTTACACGAGAATTGGAAGGAATTAGCGACAGACTCGCCGATTTGCCGCACGACACTATTTTAGCGATATTTAATTGATTCATTACAATGTTTGCTATTATATTACGCAATAATAAGCGATTTGAAAAATAATAAGTTTAAATTATTTTTTTCTTGCTGTTAATCATATGTAGAGATGAGCTCAATGCTATAATTGGTTGCAATTATAATGAATTATGGCATTAATTGTTATCGTTATTATATTTTTTTTTATGCTTAACTAATGATGCCTCTCGAAACTCGAAAT